TGACAAAACCTTTGACTGCCTTGACAGAACCTGTCAACAATCCCATCCCAAGCAGAGGCTCCACTGGGTTCTTGTGAAAAGACCAACAGCTACCCCACCAGACCCACCGGTAAAGGCACAATGCTAATACAAAGAGCGGATGCCCCCAGATCACTGAGCCGAGACTCAGGAGAGCAGAGTCCACTCTACAACTCAACCCAACACTCCTTACGTGGCCCCAATTAAGAGAATATCAGTGTTTTCAATTCTCCATCTGTAACACAGGCACAGCAGCAGCCAGTTATTATGTGCTCTTACACCCACATAGAATGCCCCCTGCAGTTGTGCCCTGATCTCTGCTGGAGTTTCTTTAAAAAAAATGGTATCAGACTATAAATAATCCTCCAAACTTTCCTTTCTTCGCCCCCATCCACAAATGCTCATTCAACATATTAAACATCCTTGCAAACTAGGGATGCTTCCTTCCAGCAGTTCAAGAAAGGGGGTGGTAACATTCAGTAACCTGCCCAAAACTGGTAGGAGCTGGACACGCATGTCAGACAAGAGGACTGTGCGGACAGCATGTCACCATACCTTACTGCTGCCAGCAGGGACAAGCCCAAGACCACAAGCAGTCCCTGAGCTTAACGCTATTGTAGTTACACGTCAGGTATGGATGGTACTAAAAATAAACCAGGAAGACATTCTCCACCTATGGCTCAGGAGGAGTCTGGTATGTAGCTCAGTCATGCAACAATCACAAGATGAAACACACTTTGATCTCTTGTTTACACTCCAAAAAGCACAAGCGAAAACAATTGGCTTGTGCTCCTATTGAACATTTTGCAGCCAGAGCAACACAGCCGAGGGAAGCAATCTGAAGGTCAAGTTCTCCTAGGAAACAATTGTAGCAATAAGACCAAAACACATTATAGGAGAAGGATGGGAAGAGGAGCCTATGCACATATATCTTGAAATAGAATTTAAAAGAGGGAGTGCAATGCTCATGGGAGATGTCAGGTTGACGGCGCTGGAAATCAGTGTCCTGCAAAACCAACAGCACAGGACAGGCAGCGCAAGATGCCTACCACTGTTAATATGCCGCATGCATTCTGGTTAGTTGAGGGAAAACATCTAATTGCCAACAGGCGCATGTACACCCAAAGTTACACCCCAGGGAATTATGCAATTGTGCACCCATGTCATTGTGTGTGTAAAATGTATGACTGCGCATAATTGCATAATACCACATCATTCTCTGGGGTGTAGCTGCTGAGTGGGAATGGGAGCTCCTGGCCTGTGTGTGTATTGGGGGGGGAGGAGGGGCATGGGCATGAGGTTTGTGGGCGAGTGTGGGCCCCCCACCACATGCCCCCAACCCCATGATGCACAACACCTGCCAGTGGTGGCAGTAGCCGGTGGCGTGCCCTTGGGGCGCTCCTGGCCAGGGCAAGCAGAGTCCCCAGTGGCGCACAGCTGCAGCTGAGTGCCTGGGGCTGCATGTGGTTCCTGCCCCATGTGCTGGCATGGAGCTAGTCCGGCCTGGCCCCAAGGTGCCTGCCAGCAGGCCGAATTGGGCCAGCTCGGTGCTGCCACGTGCAGCACCCAGGATTCACTGAAGCTGTTTGCCGCTGGGGGCTCTGTCTGCTGCAACCAGGAGTGCCCCGAAGGCTTTGTGGCAGCAGGGGCTGTACTGGGGGGAGGCGTGCAGCAGTGGGGGCTGCGTGCAGGTGGGGGGCACATGTGATGGCAGGGGCTGTGCACGGCACGGGGGATTTGAAAGCAGGGGCTGTGCGCAAGGAGGCAGCAGGGCTGCACTTGAGGGGAGCCTGCAGGGGGGGCATGTGGCAGGGGAGCACACACTCCCACCCACAAACCCCACACCTTCACTAACCCCCCCACACCCCAACAACCACCCCAACCACATCCCACAACACCCACACAAGTACCTGCATGTATTTCTAAAGAAGGTTCAAATAATGTTATATTTAGTTTAATTTGTGGGGGGAAAAAATGTAATTAATTTTGCATAATTTTGAATTTTTCTGCACATAATTCCCTGGGGTGTAAGAAACACAACTTGTCAGCGGTCAGTCAGTTCAAAGGTCTAACACAAGCACCATTTGGATGGCAATACAAAGCAGTGCCATCACCCTATCCCAATGCAGGTGATCAATGAACATCCTGCAACCTGTCATTTATGCTTCTTCTACCTGTGTGCATATGCATGCACCTGTCTACACACATATACAGTTCCAGAGCAACTATAACTTTTTTCTAAGACTATATTTAGAAATAAAGTGGCCTGTGGAGACCCACTGAGCCTATCAATCCACGAGTGAAGGCTTCCATATCTACACATACTCTCATCTTCCACCACAGAAAACAATTTTGCCCTTAGCAATCACTAGCTGCAAGGTCACAGTTAGCATGCCAGACCCGCAAGAGCTCTCAGACTTCCAGTGCAGGGGCTGTAACTGTGTCACCCCTTCCCCTTGCTGTCCAGACCTGCCATTAAGAGAGCATTTTAAATGCACATGAATGCAAGCAGGTCTCCAAGAAAGACTCCTTGCCAATCTAGTTTTTTAACTCCCGTGGGGGATGGAATCTATGATCGATCGAGGTCCCTTCCACCCCTTAATGTCTATGATTCCTTGTTTTACAGGCACCTCAGAGTTGCACTGAACAGTGCCCCCCACCACAGTGTGCACACAAGAGAAGTCCCTGACACAGAAAGCTTACCAGCTACACTGAGTGCCAGAAAAAAGATAGGAGGTGCACAGATATGCTAAGAAGATAAGCCTTGCTCAGGGTTCCCCAGCGCAGCCAGAAGCTGGTTCTCACTGCCCTGCCCAGGGCCCATGCTGCTTCCCTGAATCACACTGGCACAATTATTCAGGAGTTCACAGACCACTTTTATGAGAAACCTCTCGACCCAGATGCTAGGCTCATTCTCAGGCTTCAACGCCAGTCTCCGATTATGTGAGATCACAGCTATCCCGGATGAGAGGGGGTGACCTCAGGTCTCCCCACTACACCTTCCCTGCAAACACCTGGGGTGGGTTAGTGCCAGAGAGTGCACTGGATGAGGTAGACTCCAGATCTGTCCCAGCCTGGCTATCCCTAATCTTAACTGCAGCAAAGAAAGCAGACACGCCAAAAGGTAACTGTGACCCACTGTAGCAACGTCAATATTCTGGTCCCGGTAAGATCCTATGCCTGCGCAACACCACCCTCACCCCAGAGTTTTTCCGATTTATGGCAGCCTCTGAGCTCAGAATCTCTGTGGCATCCAATGCTGTGCCCTTGCCCAGCACTGAGCCCAACGCAGCCCGGCCTCTGGGACATCTCCTTATGTCACCAAGGCGGCAAGGTCTAGGTAGACCCACCCTAGAGTGGGAGAGTGAACAAAAACAGTTTAGGGTAGGGGCTCCCCAACCCATGGCTCACAGGCAGCGAGCTGCCAGCAAGACATGGATATTGCTCAATCACTCGAGACTGAAAGGTTCCAACTGACATGAACACGGAAAGCGAAGCATGATGTTACCCATGGCCTGTTACTTGCTCAGTATTGCTCTCCCATGGGCCAGCCAAAGGCTGGTGACTACTGGCCTAAACTTACACCAGCACACAGGACTGAATATCATATCCACAGGACTGTGTTTTTCATCAAAAGAATCAAGGCAATCCGCAGTGTGTCAGCTGCTACTCCAGACTCCTCCCTACAGTTTCTTCCCCTTTTGTCTCTGCTTAGAACAGGTTATATCCAAGTCCCTGTTTTCTACCATTCTACACATGCACCATGCTAAAGACCCCTGCCAACCGATGCCTGAAATGAAGCTTGCACATGCAATTGTGGGAATCACTATGAGAAAACAATATTCTTTCCCGACGGGAGAAGCAGATATCAACATAAATGAAGCTCTCTGCTGGGGTTGCTGTACTGATCTCCCGAGGGCAGGAGAGAGGACGTGTTTTATAATTAATTTGCTTGTTATTAGTGTAACATTCTCAAGTCTAACTGGAATCACTAAGAACCCAATTCTCATTTACACAAAGGTCATCCTTGCAGCATAAAGCAGCTTTACAAGTAATTTACACTGGCAGCATACAGCATCCATCATATAACTGCTCGTCTGACGCCCCATATTTCTTTCGGTGATCAGAAACCATAAACCAACTATTTTAAAAATGGAAAGGTCAGTCCAGGCGCTGTATGTGGATGCGGTTGAAGGGGTGGGGGTGCATAAGTACGAGATGCATTTTACAGCTGAGGATGGCCTGCAGGAGTTTTGGTTATTAGCTCTACAGGAGGCACTGCAACAGAAAGAATCAAGAAATGTGCTTCAGCCCCATGGTTAGGAAACAGGCCCAGTGTGCAGCCACCCCTGAGATATTTTGCTAATGCTCGGTGAAGTTCAACTTACACAATCCACCAGTGAAAGTCAGATCACTAAGCTAGGTGGTCTCCAACTAGGTACAGAACCACTTAGCCTGGAAAGTACAAACAGCTGGAAGTGGGTCCCTGGAAAAAGAGCACTGCTTGGAGGATATGGGGCAGGCTCCTGAAGCCCACTGTGAGGCAGTCAGCTCTTAACATTAGGAGGCAGGGATTTCCTAATATGAGTTAATAAAAGCAGTGCCTGACCCAAATGACATCCAAGCAGTTAATCGAGGGTAAGGAAGCTCAAGGTATCATCTACAATAATAAGGGCTTAATCCTGCCAGGCAGAGAGCTGTCATCTGACGTGCCAAGTACCCTGAAGGGAGCTAGCAACAGACCTCATGAGCTGGGAAGACAAGGAGCCACCGGGAAAATAACCCACCTTCTAACCCAGCTCAAACACCTGCACTGGCAAAGCCGCACTCCTCAGAGAGCACTTCCTGGGAAGCCCGCTTCTCAGAATTGGGCAATCCTGAAGGCAGCAATAAGCGTGTTAAGCATAATTCACGATACAGTGATTAAGTGCCGTCTCCAAATTACCATTCAACCCACTTTGTTTGTTTGCTTTCCTGCTTACCTGCTGATGTTGCCTGGCTCCTGCTGTGACAGACTCGATGATGGTGTCTATTAATGGCTTACACGTGATCTGTAACAAAGAAGGATCTGTGCTGTTATTAGTGCTTGCCTGCAGACCTGGTTTGTCTGAGTTTGGTCTGCTGTTTTGTGTCATGATCCCTGAATATAACACGCAACAAGAAAAGGCTACCCAGACCAGCACCAGCTCACTGTTTCCCAGCTTTGCTCATGCCAGTCCTGGGCCAAATCTTGGCCCTAGCAAAGTCAGTGGCAAAACTCCTTTTGCCTAGTCAGGTCAAATTTCTACCCCGCAAGCTTTGTCTGGCATGCCTGACTCCAGCCTAGATCCTGCCAAGTCTTTGTACCTGGGCAGTCCCACAATCTAGAAAAAAAAATATACATACCCACACCCGGATCCTTCTCTCGCTGATACTCAAGTCTCTTTCCCTTAGTTCAATGAGCCCCAAAGTAGTCCAATGCCCAATCCCCTCCCTCAAACATTGCCAAGCGCCAGAATATCAGAAATGTCCCAGAAGTTCAGAAATAGTCTCAGGTTTTTCCTCTTCAGGCTCAATTTCCTGATAAACCCACACGCAGACTCACCCTGAGCACAGCTTGCCACAAAAGTTATTGTCTGCTGCGCAGCTAATTACACTGCCATGCCAACCCAAGGAGAGATGGATGGCGGCAGGTCAGGGATCTTCAGATTTTCATTTCAAGGCAAATGATGCCCACTGATCACAATACATGCCAGCCAGTCTCTCCCACTTTTACAAGGTTGAGGATGCTAGGGAAAGCGACTTCTCCAAGCAACTTCTCTTTATCCAGCTCACTCAGCCAAAAGCCTCTGTGCATCTGAAGTCCCAAGGTTTCGCAGCCAGCTAAGAGGTTTCTAGGAACTGTTTCTTGGCTAGACTCTGGAAAGTGCTGGCCCAGCAGAGTACACAGGTAGCCTGTTTAAATGGTACCAGTCCCAATACAGGCCAAAGTACTAATCCTGCCACAATCAACGTCTCTCCTCATCACCTCAAATGTGTTGGTGTTGAAACTGCAGCTTCCACCTATCTGAGATGAGAACGCATACACAAGCCTTGTTTGAAAGAAACCAAGAACATGCGGATGGCTCAGAGCAGCTTGTTTTTAGCTTCTCCTCTCCAACTTTGCTTTACTTCCTAACAAGTTGACTCCTCCATCGTTTCCTGCAAGCACCATCATATAAAGACAGTTGGACCAGTATCACTAGCCATCTTGGGCAGAGGTACTAAGGCAGAGCCTCAAAAGACACCCTAAGAAGAGCTGTCTTCATTCAGTTCAACACTCCCGACACCAGCAGCAACACAGCTCCACTCCCGTAGTAGCAGTGCTGTCAAAACAGTCAGCGATAAGTCACACAAAAACAGCACGGTCCTCTGCGTGTTAGACTAAACATGGGAAAATCCTGAAAAGTCTTGCAGCTGTTTTGCCAGCCTGCAGCAATGCGAAAAATAAAACACACTCTTTGTCTGAGGGGATCAGCAGGGCTAATGTAGACAGGGCCTCCTGCTTCTAGCAATGCTTACCGGGAAACGGTTGAAGAGATCAAGAAACATGGAGCCTGTGAGGGCACAGTTGCGCTTTGTCAAGAATCCACTCAGTGCCTCCTGATACATCA